GGGACACGAACCACGGTCAACTACGTGGGAATCCAGCGACATAGCCATTACGCTAACTGCTGGTTCTCATTCGGAGAGGTTTTTGCTATAGGGCTCGTGCGCTCGCCAGACAGACAGAGAGAGACAGAAAGCGAGAAATCACCCCCCAGGGGGGATGGCCACGCTGCAATCCCTTCTCCTTCATTCTCCTCTCAGGATCCTGGACACACATGCACACGCACCTGGCGTGAGTTTAAGCCACCAGGTCTGGGATGCGAACCGTGGTTGACTATGTGGGAGTCCAGTAACATAGCCATTACGCTAACTGCTGGTCCCAATTATTACTTTTTAATTTGATCGGAGAGAGAGAGAGAAGGGGAAAGTAAGAAAGCAAGCCACCAGGTTCAGGACTCAAACCGTGGTCTGCCATGTGGGAATCCAGCACCCTTAACCACCACGCCACCTGCCAGCCCGATCCCAAGTCATTTCTGACTTCTGGAATCTCAGTGTACTCTGTTTTGGTCCCCCACTCTGCAAACCTTGCACTGTGACATATGCCCAAGTTCCATGCCATTACTGCCTTTGGGGTTTGCACAGTTTCACTGCTAATGAAAATGGTCCCCTGTAGTAGACTTTCCAGAATATGCTGCAGGTGTCGTCAGTCCTCGAACGCGACACTGCGATCTTGCTGTGCTTTCAGGTAGAATTATTTTATGCGATAATCAGTAACATCTGACAAAAGGTGCTCGGAGAACCACGAGGCGTCCCCAGGATGAACATGCCAGCGAGGCTGTTGCAAAACTGAGCCATGTGGCTTCAAGAAAGAGGTTTTGTTCTGGTTTGGTCTGGTTTGGTTTGTTTTTTTGTTTTTCTGAGAGATTTTTACTATAGGGCACATGTGTTTGCTGGAGAGACAGAGAGACAGAAAGACAGCAAGAAATCATCCTGGCGTGGGGATGCATGCCACAATCCCTTCTCCTCCATTCTCTTCTTGGTATTTTGGGCACGCACGCACACGTACCCGGCATGAGTTTCAAGCAGGCTGGTCTGAGACTCGAACCATGATCAACCACATAGGAGCCCAGCACCTTAACCATTATGCTACCTACTGGTCCCCAAGAAAGAGTTTTTTTTAAAACAAATAATACAGATAGTCAGCAGGTGTCATGGACATTAAGGTACTGGATCCCATATGGCTAGCTTTGGGGTTCAAGTCCTAGACCCATTGGCTTGAGAATTATGCTGTGTGTGTGTGTGTATGTGTGTGTATGTGTGTATGTGTGTGTATGTGTGTATATATATGTGTGTGTATGTGTGTGTGTATATATATGTGTGTATGTGTGTGTATGTGTGTATATATGTGTGTGTGTATATATATGTGTGTGTATGTGTGTGTATATATATGTGTGTGTATATATATATGTGTGTATGTGTGTGTATGTGTGTGTATATGTGTGTGTGTATGTATGTGTGTGTGTGTGTATATATATGTGTGTGTATGTGTGTGTATGTGTGTGTGTGTCTAAAACCCTGAGAGGAGAAGATAGTGTAGCATGACCTTCCCCTCTGGGGTGTGATTTCTCACTTTTTCTCTGTCTCTCTGAAGTGAGTACATGTGCCCTATGGCAATTTAAACATAAAATTACAAAATTAAAATGGCAGTGCCTGTTTGATCTAGCCTCTTTTAAAGATCTGTATAAACAAGGACCAGCAGTTGGCATAATGTATGTCGCTGGACTCCCATGTAGTCGACCGTGGTTCGCTTCCCGGACCCGGTGGCTTAAACTCACACCGGGCGTGTGTGCGTGCGTGCCCAAGATCCCGAGAGGAGAATGGAGGAGAAGGGATTGCGGCGTGGCCATCCCCCCGGGGGGTGATTTCTCACTTCCTATCTCTCTGTCTCTCTCTATCTCTCTAGCTAGTGCACACGCCCTATAGCAAAAAACATCTCAAAAAAAACCCTCAATACAAAGGATCCTCTCTCCTGATACATCAGAGGTAAAATAAAACAATTTCCTTTGTAGTGGGGGATGTTCTTTTGACACCCTAGATCTCGGGCTTTCTCTCCCTTTGTAAGAGTGGGTGAGACATGGAGGGGTGAGCACCCCTGTGGGGCCTGCAGTCTCTCAGAGTGACTGGCAGCGGGTCTGCTGGAGTCAGCCATGGGGGGTCGGCTCTGCCCACCGCTCTGCGGTCCATTGATTCTGAGTTACCGCATTACCCGTCTCTCCTCGGATCCCCGCAGTCCGTCTCAGAGGGCCTGTGACCAGGCCACACCTCAGCTGGTTGACGTTAGCCACCAGCAGCGCACCCTTGTTCCAAAACAAAGCAGCCGGCCGCCCCCGGGGACATAAAGGGAACTGTAAAACTGACCATGGTCCTCCCTCTGAAATCTGCAGTCCCCTCCTTGGTCATCTTTGAGCGAAGTTGAATTCTGTTTCCACGCGCTAATGTCTCCATAGCCCCGTGGAAGAAGGTTATAAAAACATCTCTGGGAACAACCGTTAAGCCGGAGGTAACTTCACTTTTATGTGGCCCTTTAGAAAGGGTCTCGGGGCCAGCAGGTGGCGTGGTGGTTAAGATGCTGGATTCCCGTATGGGCAACCGCGTGGTTCAACTCTCAGACCTGGCAGCTTAGACGATGATAGGTGCACGTGTGTGCATGACCAAAATCCCAGGAGGAGAATGGAGGAAATTTGATTTTTAAAAAAACCTTTCTTGGGACCAACAGATGGCGTGGGTGTGGCGGTTGCGTCACGGGACTCCCACATGGTCAACCACAGTTCGAACTCCAGACCCGGTGGCGGATTAAAACTCACACCCGTGGTGTGTGTGTACATGCGTGTGCCCAAGATCCCAGGAGGAGAATAGAGAAGGGATTTCAGCCTGAAGGGTTCGCGTGGATGGCCATCTTTCATGGCGGCAGGGGGAGGTGATTTCTCACTTTCTGTCTCTCTCTGTCTCTGGCAAGTGCACACACCCTGTAACAAAACTCTCTCTCAAAAAAAAAAAAAAAATGCATTCTCAGGGCCAGCAAGTGGCATGGTGGTTAAGGTGCCGGATTCCCACATGGTTGACAGCAGTTCGAGCCTCAGACCTGGTGGTTTGCTTTTCCCCTTTCTCCTTCTCTCTTTCTGCCCCTCTCTGATCAAGTTTTAAAATTAATTTTTAAAATGTATTCTCAGGTTACCTTTGGATGCCTGAATTATTGCTGGAACTGAGAAATCGAGTTCTTAGTGCCTAATCTCTGTGGTTTTGTCATTTATTTTTAGGCACCAAAGGAAGAAATAAAGGAGAGTTTACAAACCTTCAGGGCGTAGCTGCATCGACCAGCGGGAAGATACTGATTGCAGACAGCAACAACCAGTGTGTGCAGGTCAGCCCCGCGGGGACGCCTCTAACCACGCGCAGCTGAGACCGGCCGGGCTGCGCTCTTCCTGTTTAGGTCTTAAGACACAGAATGTGCGTGTGGACTTCCTTTTTTTTTTTTTTTCTTTTTTGCAGAGGTTTTTGCCATAGGGTGTGTGCGCTCCCCAGAAAGACAGAGAGAGACAGAGAGACAGAAAGTGAGAAATCCTCCCCCGGAGAGATGGCCACGTCGCAATCCCTTCTCCTCCATTCTCCTCTCGGGATCTTGGGCGCACACACACACGCGCTCCGCGTGAGTTTAAGCCACCGGGTCTGGGACTCGAACCGTGGTCAACTACATGGGAGTTCAGTGACATAGCCATTACGCTAACTGCTGGTCCCATTTTTTTTTTAAGAGAGATTTTTGCTATATGGCACATGTGCTTGCCAGAGAGACAGTGACAGAATGAGGAATCACCCCCAGGGGGCAGACCCATGCCACACCCCCTTCTCCTCCATTATCCTCAGGATCTTGGGCACGCACGCACATGCGCCTGGCGTGAGTTTTAAGCTGCTAGATCTGGGACTCAAACTGCAGTAGACTACGTGAGAGTCCAGCGCCATGACATTACACCATTTGCTGGTCCCGTGTGTAGACTTCTGTTCAAATAGAGTTTGCATGTTCTGACCCACAGAACACATGACGGAAGTTTCTATTTCTTTTTTTCTTTTTTTCTTCTTTTTTTTGGAGTGGTTTTTGCTATAGGGCTTGTGCGCTCTCCAGACAGACAGAGAGAGACAGAGAGACAGAAAGCGAGAAATCACCCCCCGGGGGATGGCCATGCCAAGATCCCTTTTCTTCCATTCTCCTCTCGCATGCACACGCGCCTGGCGTGAGTTTAAGCCACCGGGTCCGGGACTCGAACCACAGTCGACTACATGGGAGTCCAGCGACATGGCCATTACTCTAACTGCTGGTTCCTTCTTTTTGTTTTTTGCCACAAGTTGCATGCGGTCACTGGAGAGACAGAGAGAAGGAAAGTGAGAAATCACCCCCAGGGAATGGCCATGCCATAGTCCCCTCTCCTCCATTCTCCTCCTGGGATTTTAGGCATGCATGTCCATGTACCTGGTGTGATTTTCGAGCCATCGCGTCCCAGACTCGAACCTCAGTCGACCATGTGGGCGTCTAGCGCCTTAACCACCATGTCACCTGCCGGCCTTCTTCTTGTCTATTCTGAGCAGTCTGTGGGCCGGTTCACATTCTGACGAGCGTGATTTGTTTTACAGATATTTTCCAATGACGGCCAGTTCAAAAGTCGTTTTGGCATACGAGGCCGCTCTCCCGGGCAGCTGCAGAGGCCCACGGGGGTGGCCGTGCACCCCAGCGGGGACATCATCATCGCCGATTATGATAACAAGTGGGTGAGCATCTTCTCTTCAGACGGGAAGTTTAAGGTAAGGCTCCTATCAATTAACCTCTAACTAAGAGAGAAACAGGCAATACAAGCTGAGACTGCTTCTTTAGATCTCATGCAATACTCGGCAATCCTTCACACAGAAACATCCTGACATTTACGTTTGATGAAGAGAGCGCAGCAGTAAATTCACAAGTCTACTCACATGAACCCTTGTTTTATTTATTTATTTATTTATTTATTTTTGGAGAGATTTTCGCTATAGGGCACGTGCGCTCGCCAGACAGACAGAGAGAGACATAGAGACAGAAAACGAGAAATCACCCCCCAGGGGGGATGGTCACACCGCAATCCCTTCTCCTCCATTCTCCTCTCGGGATCTTGGGCACGCACGCACACACGCCTGGCGTGAGTTTTAAGCCACCGGGTCTGGGACGTGAACCGCGGTCGACTACGTGGGAGTCCAGCGACATAGCCATTACACTAACTGCTGTTTCCCAAGTGTCCTTGTTTTATAAGCAGTTGGATTGCTCTGTTACTTTTTTTTTTTTTTGGAGAGGTTTTTGCTATAGGGCACATGTGAGCACCAGAAAGATAGACAGAGAGACAGAAAGTGAGAAATCACCTCCCAGGGGAATGGCCATGCTGCAATCCCTTCTCCTCCATTCTCCTCTCGGGATCTTGGGCACGCACGCACACACGCCTGGCGTGAGTTTTAAGCCACCGGGTCTGGGACGTGAACCGCGGTCGACTACGTGGGAGTCCAGCGACATAGCCATTACGCCAACTGATGGTCCCTCTGTTACTTCTTTTTAAAATCATAGATTCAGATGGGAACTGTACTCAGGTTGGGGAAAAACAACCACCTTTTGAAAAGGGCTAGTAAGAGGCAGTTTATATGGAATTGTCAGAAAAGTCATGACTCAATTCTGCATAGAAAAGCAAAAAAATACTGGGACTTTCCCCGCAACTTAATAGTTCTGAAATCCATCCTTAAAAAGTCGTCATTTTTTTAAAATAATTTTTTCATTTAACTTTTTAACTTATTATTATTATTCTATTTATTAAATTATTTTATTAATTAAATTATTTTAATTTAACCAGAGAGAGACGGCGGGGGGAGGAGAGTGAGAAAGCAAGCTGCCGGGTCCAGGACCCAAACCGCAGTCAGCTATGTGGGAATCCTGTACCCTTAACCACCATACCACCTGCCAGCCCCCAAAAGTTGACATTTTTAACTCCACAATATTGTATGCAGCTCTTAATTTTTCATTATGCAGCTTTTTCATCCCCTGGAAATTGGGTGGCCCCATGCCCTGGCTACATTTACAGAAAGGCCTCTTGCTTTTCTGTCTCTACCTTCCTCCCCTTCTGTGCTTTCATGGGACAACTTTCATGAACAGAATGAAAATCCTGCAGTGACCTCTAGTGTAGATGTAAACTTGGGAACCAGCAGTTAGCGTAATGGCTATGTTGCTGGACTCCCACGTAGTCGACCGCGGTTCGCGTCTCCCGGACCCGGTGACTTAAAACTCACGCCGGGCTCATGTGCGTGCGTGCCCAAGATCCCGAGAGGAGAATGGAGAAGAAGGGATTGCGGCGTGACCATCCCCCCTGGGGGGTGATTTCTCGCTTTCTGTCTCTTGTCTGCCAAGCGCACGCGCCCTATAGCGAAAACCTCTCAAAAAAAAAAAAAAAACTGCTGCTTCTCGTTCTGGATGCTAGCAAAACCGTGATCTGTCTTTGTAAATTCAGGAGTGAATACTGAAAGAAGGTCTCCACATTGAGATAGGAGGTTTAGACCTAAGAGAGCAGGGCTCCCTGGATTAACATCAGTCACTCAATCGTTTATCTGTAATGGACACCCCGCTTAGGAGAGCCAAATTCTTTTTTTTTTTTTTTAAGAGAGATTTTTGCTATAGGGCATGTGCGTTCTTTGGAGAGACAGAGATAGAGAGACAGAAAGCAAGAAATCACCCCCCAGGAGAGATGGCCATGCCACAATCCCTTCTCCTCCATTCTCCTCTCAGGATCTTAGGCACGCACGCACTCATGTCTAGCGTGAGTTTTAAGCCGCCGGGTCCAAGATTCACACTGTGTTGGGAAGGGAATCCAGCCACATAACCATTATGCTCTTTGCTGGTCCCAGGAAAACTGAATTCTTAGGGTTGGAATACTTTCAATAATAATTAGAATAAGCACTAAAGAATACTTATACCCGCTAGAGGATTAGGGGCATGATCGTATTGGAGTTTCAGCGATAACCTTTTTTAAACTATTTAATTATTTGTTTATTTTTATAGCTCACTATATGGTTTTTCTTTTTTCTTTTTTTAAAGAGGTTTTTGCTATAGGGCGTGTGTGCTCACCAGAAAGACAGAGAGAGACAGAGAGACAGAAAGCGAGAAATCACCCCCCAGGGGGGATGGCCACGCCGCAATCCCTTCTCCTCCATTCTCCTCTCAGGATCTTGGGCACGCACGCACATGCACCCGGTGTGAATTTAAGCCACTGGATCTGGGACTCGAACTAGAGTCAACTACATGGGAGTCCAGAGACACAGCCATTACGCCAACTACTGGTCCCTCAATACGGTTTTTCAAAGTTTGCTTACAGTGCATGACGGTCAAATCAAGGGTATTACCTTCCACCTCATTTTCAACAGAGAACTTGACAGTCTTATGTCTGTTATGTGTTCTTTCCCTTTGGCCCTTCCACACACCCTGGCAGTGCCCTTTTTTAAGAGGGATATTTATCGAAACCCGAAGGAGGGAAGGATAGCGCGGGGGAGCTCCAGGCGTTCAGCCGAGGGTGACGTCTACAACGGACAGAGCCTTCTCATGTTCTGTGGTAGGATGCAGTAAAATGGAACCAGTGCTGAGAGACACACCTTAACACCTCTGTGGGTTTTGTGTACTTTTTTTAATTCTTTTTAAAAAATATATTAAAGAATTATTTATTTATGTATTACTTTTTATTTGCTATAGGGCACATGAGCTCACCAGAGGGAGACAGAGAGAGAGGGAATGTGAGACAACAAGCTGCCAAGTCTAGGACTTGAACTGCAGTCAACCACGTGGTAGTCCAGCACCTTTGCCACCATACCACCTGCTGACCTCTGTGTCGATTCTTAATAGTTTTAAAATTTGGCATCTTTCTTCCTTCTCTTTCTTTTATTCACCTGCCCCCTAGCCCTGATTTTCATTCCTCTCCTCCTCTCTAATTTTTTACCTTCCCATCGTCCCTCCTGAGTTATACGTCCCAGCCCATCTGGGGCCAGATCAGAATAGAGACCTCTGCCCGCCATAGTCTAAAACATCTGATCTCCTCCCTCAATTTAGGAACCTGTTTCTTTTTTCTTTTTTTTTTTTTTTTTGAGAGATTTTTGCTATAGGGTGCATGCGCTCGCCAGACAGACAGAGAGAGACATAGAGACAGAAAGCAAGAAATCACCCCCCAAGGGGGATGGTCACGCCGCAATCCCTTCTCCTCCATTCTTCTCTCGGGATCTTGGGCACGCACGCACACGCGCCCGGCGTGAATTTTAAGCCACTGGGTCCGGGACGCGAACCGCGGTCGACTACGTGGGAGTCCAGCGACATAGCCATTACGCTAAGTGCTGGTTCCCAGGAACCTGTTTCTTGACTTAAGTACTCAGATGTGGGACCAGCAGATGGGGTAATAGTTACATCACTGGACTCACACGTAGTTGACTGCAGTTCAAATCCCAGACCTGGTGCCTTAAAACTCATGCCGTGTGTGTGTGTGTGTGTGTGTGTGTGTGTGTGTGCCCAAGATTCTGAGAGGGGAATGGAGGAGAAAGGATTGCGGCGTGGCCATCCCCCTGGGGGGTGATTTCTCACTTTCTGTTTCTGTGGCAAGTGCATGTGTCCTATAGCAAAATTTCTATTTAAAAAAAATTTTTTTTAAAGATTTGTTTTATTTTAACTTCATTTATTATTATATTCTAGTTTGACCAGAGAGAAAGTGAGAAAGGAAGCCACCAGGTCTGGGACTCGAACCACGGTTGTCCACGTAGGAGGCCAGAGCCCTTAACCATCACAACATCTGCCAACCCTCCCAAAACATTTTAAAAAAAATACTCAGATTCAACCATTCCAAGGCTAAAGCATGTTTGCTTCCTGTTGTGTTTAAGATGGCCAACACGGGACTAGCAGTTAGCGTAATGGCTATGTTGCTGGTCTCCCATGTAGTAGACCATAGTTCGAGTCCTGGACCCAGTGGCTTAAACTCACACCGGGCACGTGTGCGTGTGTGCCCAAGATCCCGAGAGGAGAATGGAGGAGAAGGGATTGTGGTGTGGCCATCCCCCCGGGGGGTGATGATTTCTCACTTTCTGTCTCTCTCTCTGTGTCTTTCTGGTGAGTGCATGTGCCCAGAAAAAAAAAAAAAAAAAAAAAGGATGGCCGCCACACAGATCAGATACGGGGATGCTGTTCCCCTTGGGAGACTCCATTGCAGCTCACCGGGACTGATGGAGGGAGGTGCGAGACAAAGAGGTTTGAGTCTATTGATGGAAATAACCAACTCTGCAAAAATAGTAATTAATGTGGTTTATTTCTGAACATGAATCTGAGTGACCTAAGCCCAGAGAGGAGGCAAAACGTGCCCCTCTCCGGGTGATCAGGTACAGGGGTTCCTTTTATTTCATTTTGTGAGTGAGAGAATTTAGTGATGAGCTTTCCATTGGTTTGGCCCAAAGAGGGGGGGTCATGTGGAAGCGGGGCTTGTAGGTTTAGGGAAGGGATTAGTAAGGAGATAAGGGGGCTTGTACACAGTCGCAAGGACAGGGTGTTGGAAGAGTCCTGTTACCAATGAGTCAAAGCGGCCTGTTACTGGGAACCAGCAGTTAGCGTAATGGCTATGTCGCTGGACTCCCACGTAGTCGACCACGGTTCGTGTCCCGGACCCGGTGGCTTAAAACTCACGCCGGGCGCGTGTGCGTGCGTGCCCAAGATCCCGAGAGGAGAATGGAGGAGAAGGGATTGCGGCGTGACCATCCCCCCGGGGGGTGATTTCTTGCTTTCTGTCTCTATGTCTCTCTCTCTGTCTGGCGAGCGCACGCGCCCTACAGTGAAAATCTCTCCAAAAAAAAAAAAAAGCAGTCTGTTGCTGATTGCGGGCGTGACTCACCCACTACAGGGACACTGTGCCGGGAACAGGATGTAGGAAGATTTTTGTTATCAAATGGGCCAAAGCGGTCTGTTAACCTCTGTTCATGTCTATGGGCATGACTCACCCCAGATCCTAGGGAAGGGATTTAGAAACAGGAAAAAGCAGTCGGACTTTGTCCTCAAGTCTAACAGCTAAGTTATTCTAGATCTGCCCTCGTTGTCACCACGTGATAAATGGAGACAATCCTTTATTTTCCGCGTCTGTTCTGGCTCATTATCCACGTGGGCATATGGCTGACATTCTAAGTAGCTGCGGGTGTTGCCCGTGGCCGGTGCAAACGAGACGCCTGTTTCCCTAACCAGAATGCCGTCTCTCCCGCTGACCCCTGCGGCATGCCTGCCGTCCGAGAGGACGGCCTTCCTTCACAGCCTCTTAGACTGCAGAATCAGAGTCAGATCTGCACAGGAGACAGCCTGGCCAAGAAAACCCTTGCTTCTTCCTGAGTGATCGCTTCCCTTTGCTTTAAAGAGGTCAGATCCGAATCCCAGCCATTTATCGGCTTAGGAGAATAATGAAACACACACACGAAATCGGCACTGCAAAGTTCCTATCCCTCGACTTGAAAGTTTAAAAACACGTATTTTTGACAGTGCTCATAGAGATAAAATGAGAAGGCCGAACTAGAACCTATGAGAATGTAACTTCTTTGGTTTAGAATTTCAGTTTATAAAGCAGTATATAGGGGCCGGCAGATGGCGTAGCAGTTACGTCGCTGGACTTCCACATGGCTAACCACGGTTCAAGTCCTGAACCCAGTGGCTTGAAAATCACCCCAGGCACATGTGCGTGTGTGTTCATGATTCCGGGAGGAAGATGGAGGAGAGGGGATTGTAGCATGGCCATCCCCCCTGGGGGGTGGTTTATACTGTCCCTATCACTGTCTCTGTCTCTCTCTTTCTCTGGTGAGCACACATACCCTAAGACAAAAACCTTCCCCCCCAAAAAAAAAGACAGCTCTGAGGGGCCAGCAGGTGACCTGGAGGGTAAGGCACTGGATCCCATATGAGTGACTGCTCAGTCCAAGTCCCGGACCTGGTAGCTTGGAAATCATACCGGACGCGTGTTCATGTGTGCCCAAAGTCCCAAGAAGAGAATGGAGGAGAAGGGACTGTGGCACAACCATCTCTCCCCGGGGGGTGGTGCTTTCTCACTTTCTATTCCTGTCTCTCTCCGACAAGTGTACACACTCTATAGCAAAAGCTAGTAATAAAAAGTCTGAAAAACAGAACACTGAACCATCATAATGGCCCTACAGTAATGCTAGACTGTCTCATGACTGTATCAGCACTCACCCTCGGTCAGTCGGTGTGTGCTGAGTACCTGCCAGGCAACAACCGGTGGACAGGCTCTGAGGGCACGTGGGAGACAGGACAGGCACTCAATCCTAGTCAAGTTCAATGGCAGATCTTTTTTTTTTTTTTAAGTAAAAAAAGATTTATTTAATTAATTAATTTGTGTATTTTTTTTTTTGAGAGGTTTTTGCTATAGGGTGTGCGCACTTGCCAGAAAGAGAGAGAGAGAGAGACAGAGAGATGGAAAGTGAGAGATCACCCCCCCACACACGGGAATGGCCATGCTGCAATCCCTTCTCCTCTATTCTCCTCTCAGGGCCTTTTTTTCATGTGTGCCCAAAGTCCCAAGAAGAGAATGGAGGAGAAGGGACTGTGGCACAACCATCTCTCCCCGGGGGGTGGTGCTTTCTCACTTTCTATTCCTGTCTCTCTCCGACAAGTGTACACACTCTATAGCAAAAGCTAGTAATAAAAAGTCTGAAAAACAGAACACTGAACCATCATAATGGCCCTACAGTAATGCTAGACTGTCTCATGACTGTATCAGCACTCACCCTCGGTCAGTCGGTGTGTGCTGAGTACCTGCCAGGCAACAACCGGTGGACAGGCTCTGAGGGCACGTGGGAGACAGGACAGGCACTCAATCCTAGTCAAGTTCAATGGCAGATCTTTTTTTTTTTTTTAAGTAAAAAAAGATTTATTTAATTAATTAATTTGTGTATTTTTTTTTTTGAGAGGTTTTTGCTATAGGGTGTGCGCACTTGCCAGAAAGAGAGAGAGAGAGAGACAGAGAGATGGAAAGTGAGAGATCACCCCCCCACACACGGGAATGGCCATGCTGCAATCCCTTCTCCTCTATTCTCCTCTCAGGGCCTTTTTTTTTTTTTTTTTTTTTAATTTAAATTTTTTTTTTTTTTTTTTTTAATATTAAGTATTTTATTGTATGCTGATGCCAGTGTGTATAACATAATTTTGTGAAATAGAAATTTATGAAAATTCAGAGAGGTAGGTGTTAAGGACCAACAAAAGTAAAAGTTCTGCATGTTGTGGCCCAGCTGTTACAGGAAAAGCTCTGTCTAGGCTTCCGATTTAGCTCTCTTGAGTATCCACTGGTTCACGAGAAACAGCTTGGGAATCCTTTCAGAGATTCATTTTACTACAAAAAAGAACAGGCTTTCTGGGGTCTGACAGGATTCGTACTTGGAGACACTGCAGTCAGCAGGGGGGTCGCGGTGAGCATGCTGCAGACAGAACTGTTTCACGTCTGCGGCCTGAGAGACCTTCCCGCGGCTGAGCCCGGCCTCCAGCCGGAGCTGCTGGGCCACCTTCTTCATAGCAGCGACGCTGGGAAAACCAGACATGGCACGAGGAGAGCCGGGCCGAATGGACAGTCCTCGGGCCGATGGGTCTATAGTCGATCTGCGGGGTACGCACAGCGGGGAGCTAGTGGCCAGGGTCCTCTCAGGGTCTTGGGCACGCATGCACACATGCCCAGCATGAGTTTAAGCCACCGGGTCTGGGACTCAAACTGCAGTCGACTACATGGGAGTCCAGCGACATAGCCATTACGCCAACTGCTGGCCCCAAGATTTATTTCATTTTTTAAATTGTTATTATTATTCTTTAATTTGCTATAGGCCAGATACACCCACCAGAGAGAGACAGAAAGAGAGAGAAAGAGGGAAAGCGAGAGAGCGAGCTGCCAGGTCTGGGGCTCGAACCACTGTTGACCATGTGGGAGTCGAGCACTTTAACCACCACACCTGCTGGCCCACCTGGAACATCCGAGTCCGCGCTCCCGAATACGGAAGTCCGCCGGGTGTTCTGCAGCGTTTTGAACTCCGATGTCTGAGCGCGAACTCTGCCTCTGTTTCTAACAGACAAAAATCGGCTCGGGGAAGCTGATGGGCCCCAAAGGAGTGTCCGTGGACCGCAACGGGCACATCATCGTGGTAGACAACAAGGCGTGCTGCGTGTGCATCTTCCAGCCCAACGGCAAGGCGGTCACCAGGTTCGGGAGCCGAGGCAACGGGGACAGGCAGTTCGCAGGTACACTCGGCGGGGGCGGGTAACCCCTCCTCGGCTCCTGTGCTCGCGGTGCACGGCGTTGGAGCACGGGGAGACGCTGCTTCCCCGGCGAGTTTGGCGGCTCGAGGGGGGGGGGCTGGGGTGCTGTGTGAGCACAGGCGCCCTCATGGCAGAGCCCCACCGGCAGGAAGGTGGACGGCAGCCCGCCTGCGCTTCCTGTCGGTGCCCG